GCCGCTCACTCTAGCCCACCGGCCTCCGCTCACTCAAGCCCGCCGGCTTCCCCTCACTCTAGCCCGCCCGCCTCTGCTCACTCAAGCCCGCCGTGTGTGACGCTGTGTGTTTCGTTGTGAAAGCGAAACTACTTTGTTTGGCCTTCCAAAAGAGGACACGACTAGAAATCAGTGGTTAAGTTGAATTTACAACACTGTTCCAGAACACTTCAACCCAAATATTCAGATGTGTGCAGCACATTTTATGGAGGACTGTTTCCTGGGAGAGTAGACTACAATGCCGGCTGTTCTGACTCACAGACTGTAAGTAAGTTTTCATATTTAAAGAATTTGCCACTGACGATTCAAACGCGAGTTTTGGGTAGTGTAGAGTAGCGCTTGTTGTTTGTCATTTCTCCGATCACAAATGCAGACATGGTTTTATGTTTCCATGGCGCAATGCAACGCAACGTGTAAAAAGACAGTATAAGTCATTATAATCCGTAATTCGGCCAATCACAACGCACTGGATAGTTGACCAATCACAACACACCTCGCTTTTCAGACCGATGAGCTTTGTAATAATGTACGCATTTCAGAAAGGCGGGGCATAGAGGAGAAACAATAATGTACAGTATGTGGAAAATAATGTGTTTTTTTTACCTTAAACGGCATAAAGACATTTCATTTAACCAAATAACAAAATAATGTTCTTTTTAACAACATCATATGACCCCTTTTAAGCTTTTAAACCTTAGTTTTAACTTTTTATATTTTTTATACTAAACGTATAATGTTTTGTAGTATATTTTAAACATTTTATACTTAAAGGGTTAGTTCACCCAAAAATGAAAATTAGCCTGTGTTTTACCCTCGAGGCATCCTAGGTGTATAAGACTTCCTTCTTTCAGACGAATCCAATCGGAGTTATATTAAAAATTGTCCTGGCTCCTCCAAGCGTTACCATATTAAATGTTTACACTTGATTATAACAAATTTGTAAAAATGCTATGCCATCTTTTTTGTTTCATATTTAATTTTAAGCTTTTATCGTTTTTTTTTTTAAATGTATGATATAACTTATATAACATAAAATGTAAAATAATAATGATATAGCATATTTTTTACTTTCTATAGTTTTTTTAATTAATTTTTTTTATGAAATCTTTGTTAATTTTTTATACATTATTTAATACTTTTTAAAAACATTTTCTATACTATAGCTTGTATAATGTTTTATAGTGTATAGTAAACTTTTGTGTACTAATTATTGTATTTGTAAAATAATGCGTATTTATTAGTTTTGGACAGATAGAAACATTGATACACACATTTTCAGCTGATTTAATCTTTTTTTTTTTTTTTTGTACAGCACATAGTGTATAGTGTGTGTGTGTGTATAGTGTGTGTGTGTGTGTGTGTTTGTGTGTGTGTGTATATATATCTATATATATATATAATTCATTATTTATTATTTAGTCATTTAGCAGATGCTTTTATCCATACATATAAAGGCGGCCATCCGTCTGCACTGTCCCGCGGGCCACAGATCTGCGCTAACAGGCCGTTTGATGCAGCGATGCAAGGCTGGGCTTTATAGAGACATCCGTCACGCATCAGTCACACACAATACAACGTTTACACACATACTTACAGCGGATCTGATGGAATCCAACGCCACTGTCACACACACACACACACCACCACCACCACTCCATCACATCTTACACAATACTTCCAAACAGCAAGATGAGATTAAACAGAAACTCTAACGTTTCTGAGGACTCCAGTAATGCAGTTCGTTTGAGGTGCTGTTTAATTGGCAGCTGGGCCGTGGAGGATTATGGGTATTTCTGGGGTGATGGAGGGACGTCCATCTGCAGTCGCAGACGAACATGAACATGAACACACTGTGTCCAGTGGAAAACTCATGCAGGATCTCCGCTTTACCCTCGACCGAGGAGTTCAGTGACACTCGTGCAATGATAGGATTCCTTTTATGTTGCTGATTGTTATTTTTTATTCATTTAGAAAGAATGTGAGAAAAACGTTTACATTTATGTGCTTGACAGACACTTTTATTCAAAGTAACTTACATTGCATTCAAGCTGTGCATTTTGTTATGTTCATGCATTTGTTAGGAATCAAACCTCTTTACTGTTCGATATACAGGAATTATTTTATTTGTTGTTTGATTTTAAGCTATAGAACAGAATCACAGTGGTGATATATTTATTTCACTGCACAAAATGATGTAAAGCGGCACACAGGGCCATCTGGAGGACTCTTGAGAGATGATTCACGTGAATCGGTGAGTCTTTCCAGCATTAGATAGAGGAACATTCAGGAGAACATGTTGACATTCTCAGTTATTTCTGCTTTAAGGACACGAGCGGATAAAAACAGCAATTTGACATTTTGTCAAACTCAGGGGGGAAAGAAAAAGAAAAATACAGTTTGAAAACTGTCACACAGTTAAAAATGTATTTTTTTTACTCAGATTTTATCTTGTTTTCCAGTACAAATATGTAAACATGAAATCAAGATACATTGACTGGAGATGCACGGTGACTTAAGTCTTGTTTTCTGAGAAATGCATCAAAAATAAGTGAGTTTTCTGTTTGCCTTTTGAATTAGTTTTAAATTTTTCTGGCCCTGTTGGCAGATATTTGTTCTTGTTTTAAGCATAAACTCACCTCCTTTTAATGCAGTTTCCAGAAAACAGTATTAACATCTTAAAGCAGTAGAAATGTAGCACTGCATCAGTGTCTCAGCAATGGATGCTCTGCAGTGAATGGGTGCCATCAGAATGAGAGTCCAAACAGCTGATAAAAACATCACAATAATCCACAAGTAATCCACAGCACTCCAGTCCATCAGTTAACATCTGGAGAAGACAAAAGCTGAAACAAATCCAGCATTAAGAGGTTTTTAACTCAAATACCATAGAGTCCATAATCCATAATAACGCTTCCTCCAGTGAAAAAGTGTTCTGGTCTGAATCAGGAGAGAAATCTGCACAGATCAAGCACCGTTTAAACAGCTCTAAACACATATGTGGCTGGATTTTGATGTGAGAGACAACAGGAGATGCACTTTTTCACTGGAGGAAGAGTTATTATGGATTATGTATGGATTAAACGGCTGATTTTTTTGCTGTAATTCCGCTGTTATTCACGTTAAATGTTCTGTCTGTTCTCTCAGAGCCGCCGGTTCCCATTGCTCCTCCTCAGCTCATGGCGGTCGGGGCCACATATCTCTGGATCCAGCTCAATGCGAACTCCATCAACGGAGACGGGCCCATCATCAACCGCGAGGTGGAGTACCGCACCGTCTCCGGCACCATGTACGACCTGCAGCCCGTCGATAAAACCTCGCACAAGATCGGCCATCTGGACCCCGACACGGAGTACGAGATCAGCGTGCTGCTGACGCGGCCCCTGGAGGGAGGAACCGGGGCCCCGGGGCCGCCGCTGAGAGCCCGCACCAAATGCGCAGGTAACCGCGACCGCCTGATAAATGCTGTCATATAACAGAGGAATATTAAATTACTCTCCCTCATGTCATTTCAAACCTGTACGAGTTTCTTTCTTCTGTGGGGCATCAAAGAAGATATTTTGAAAAATATTGGGAGCTGAACATTTTCAGTTCCAATTGTATTTTTGTTTGTATAATGAAAGTCAATAGGAACCAAGAAACCAAGGAACCATCCATCCATCCATCCATCTATCTATCTATCTATCTATCTATCTATCTATCTATCTATCTATCTATCTATCTATCTATCTATCTATCTATCTATCTATCTATCTATCTATCTATCTATCTATCTATCTATCTATCTATCTATCTATCTATCTATCTATCTATCTATCTATCTATCTATCTATCTATCTATCTATCTATCTATCTATCTATCTATCTATCTATCTATCTATCTATCTATCTATCTATCTATCTATCTATCTATCTATCTATCTATCTATCTATCTATCTATCTATCTATCTATCTATCTATCTATCTATCTATCTATCTATCTATCTATCTATCTATCTATCTATCTATCTATCTATCTATCTATCTATCTATCTATCTATCTATCTATCTATCTATCTATCTATCTATCTATCTATCTATCTATCTATCTATCTATCTATCTATCTATCTATCTATCTATCTATCTATCTATCTATCTATCTATCTATCTATCTATCTATCTATCTATCTATCTATCTATCCATCTATCCATCTATCCATCTATCCAGCTATCTATCTATCCAGCTATCCATCCATCCATCCATCTATCCATCTATCCATCTATCTATCTATCCAGCTATCCATCCATCCATCCATCTATCCATCTATCCATCTATCTATCCATCCATCCATCCATCCATCCATCCATC